TCTTTAATTTAATATTAAATATGTATAATTATAGCCTTTAGAAATTAATAATTGCAATAATAAATAAATTAAACAAAGCTCCTTTTATAGAGAACTTTATTAATATACAAACATTCAACAAAAATACACTAAATTCTCATTATGCTTCATACCATTTTTTCAATGTTTCCGGAGCTGAAATTTTATTCTTATATTTGTTAACTAATTTTGAAAACGATACATCATTTTTATTATTCTTCTTTTTACTCTTCACCTAAAATAATACAAATAATAATAATAATAATAACAATATAATATACCCCTTTTTTGTTGAATTAAATTTTTTATTAAGTATACTTTTGGTTCTCTTTTCTTCTCGTTTCTGATGGCTAAATCGCGTTTCTTTTTCATTGTTAATTTCTTCTTGGTTTTAACATTCTTTTGATGAGCTTCAGATTGAATTTTAAGTTTAAACTTTGATCGAATTGCCATATGCCCCTAAATATTTTATTAACGCATAAGTAATGTATTAAAATTATTAAATCCAACATTTAATTATTACATATAAATATATGATATTGAGTTTACTACAATTTTTTTTTTATATTACCTCTTTAGCTGTTATACCAGTAAATTCAGGGAGATCTGCTGTTTTTTTTTTTGATAGTGCGGTAGATCTATTGTTTTTGTTATTATTTTCTGTATTAAATTTTTTATTTTTATTTTCAACAGTCGATGAAGTACCTGATTGTTTATTAAATAATGGATTGCAGGTTTTACTCTTTTCTATTCTTCGTTGTCTAGCTTGTAAAACAAGCCTATTTTCAATAGAAAATGCTACTATTGGTCTCTATAATTATAATACTAATTAATCAGCTTTCTACAGAAATATAAAATATTATCTGAAAATCTTACTTTATTTGAATTAAAGATGTTTGGATTGTTATTGATGGATCTGAGTGCCTTTAAAGCATCTTCATGTTGTTTAAATGTAACAAAAGCATATTCTTTTGAAATTGGTACTCCATTAGGATCAACTTTTTTTAAATTCCTCATAACTACTACCTGAATTAAATAATAAAACAATATTATAAGCAATAATATTTTATAAAGCAAAGTTGGAGACTATAGTTCCTCACATCCCCCAGAATCACCCTTTTATTCAAGTATGATAACAGCCTATAATAGTTAAACAATTATAAAATAATATAATTTTTTTTTTTAAATTATTGTAATCCTTATTATATGTAACAAAACTACATAATAAAAATTTGTTGAAACATTAATTATCCCAAGAGGGTAAAAATTATCAAGTGTATTATCTTTTAATCTTTTTTCACAAAGTATGTAATAAGTAGAAGTCGGATTTTTATGATTTTACCTATTTGTTTCTAGTGTATGTGTTAAATGGGAGTAAGATTCATGTAACACAGAATTTATAAGAAAAAATTTATTTTGCATAAAAAAGCATATTTTAGGGGTTAGAGAATTTTCAACACGTTGGAGAATATTTTAATTTTTAAAGATTTTACTTTTGTTATAACAACATAATGAATAAATTTCACGTAAATTGGCATTTCGATCAATACAATATTTACTATAAATTTATTTCTGGGTTCTAATAAAAATTAATCACAATAATTAATCATATAATATGAATTCTATAATTATTTTTTTATTATTACCTACATTATTTATAGTCATAAATAAATGTTTCTATTTATGTTGATATAAAATCATTTGCTAGACAAATACCTTAAGTATTATATTTATAATTTAATATACAAGTTAATACATAGATTTAAAAAAAAAATTTCTAAAAATATGTAATGTAAATGGTGACAACATAAAGTTAATAATCTATTTTATCGTTGTCAATCAAATGAGTATTATTTTTTTTAACAAGACATTCAAGCTTTTAGGTATACAAATGTATCATTATATTTATCCTTATGTTGACCATCCCTGCTATATATTTTACCTATTATTTAAAAAAATTGAAAATAGGATCAATAATAATCCTGATTTAAGCACTAAATTAAAATTAGTGAGAGTGATTTTTGAAAATGTTAAACTAGCAAAACAGTTTCAAAATTAATCTCCTGTAAGACAATAGTTTTTATTAATTATATTATTTCAATTATTAAGTATGGTATATAAGTGTCTAGTTATCTAACTCACTTTCAATACTGCATTAGGATGAGTATATTTTGTAAATAAATCCTTTAACTTTTTATTATCCATGTTAGCTGGCAAGTTGTGAATAATAAGTCGATTACGAGCCACAAACATATTAAGATTTTTTAGAACTTGAGATTTCCATTGCTCCAATTCAAGTCTTTTATTCATATCATGGACAGATACACCATTTGCAGCTGCTGTTCCGGCAATTATAACTAAAACATGTGTTATATTATAATAGAATAATATGCGTTTTTACATCAACTACCAATACTAAAATTAATTAAAATTATCTTCATACCTCCTTCTTTGATTAAATACAAATTTCTGTTATCCTTATGAATAACTTTATCATCTTTATTTTTATCCAGAACTTCTTTATCAATTGCCATTTGCGGTTCCATTGTAGATCCATTAAGAGTTAGCTCTTCAGGAGAACTAGACATACAAGCTTCCACGCTACTAGAATCCTAAATTATAAATTCAAATAAATATTAACACAATTTTTATCAAAATTTAAGTGTTTAAAGCTAATGCTTCATAATTTATTTCAAATCTAAATTCTTTAATAATTTATGTTTATTCAAATATATAAATTAAGACCAAATTGTACTTATAATTAATGCTTATATTTACTCTGAATTTCACAAATGCTGTTCCTTTAGAATGTTCTGTTAAGCGATCTACACAAACAAGTGCATAGTAAACTGGTCCAAATCGTTCTTTTACAAATCGCTTTAATTCATCGTTATTAACACTAAATGAAACATTTTTAAAAAAAACTGTCAAACCTTCTTTAACATCATGAGATTTAAAACGTTTTTTATTTGCTGTAGAAATTACAGACTCATTGTCATCAATATCTTCTCTTTTTCGTTTAACATCATTTCTAAAATTAAATACATCAAAATAATTATTCATAAGTTAATTAATAATTTAATATAAATATATAACTCACTCAATATCTGTAGTCTCAAAATCTACAAAATTGTCAGATTCCTCTTTCAATGTGTCTAGAGTAAGATAATCTTCAACATTTTTAGGTTTTTCTTCATTATTTTGATCATCAGATAAAACTTCTTTAATTTCTTTTTGATTTTCAATAGGTTCAACATTTTCTTCTTTAACCGAGATATTTTCTTCTTTTTCTCTAGTAGTATGAATAGTTTCATACTTATTTTTTGGTATAGCCCAATCAACAACAATAGATCGACCTTTGAATATTTGAAAAAAATTAAATAATAAATTATATGAGTACTAAGACAATTTTCTATTATTACTAAAAAAAAAAAAAATAAAAATGTTTCATCATTCTAAATTTTAATACTTCCATTAAAAATGTATTTATTTTTTTTTTTATTATTACATACACAATCTATACCTCATAGGTACAATAATACTAGTAAGAGTGTTAGCTAAATACAAAAACTAAATACATGAATAATCATAATAAAAGTAGCCACCCAGTGATAACACTTTTAAGTGAATTTTTAAATTAATTTATATATATTATATTCTTTTTTTTCCTAAATTAGGTTAAAAGATATCTACACCAATTTTGTTTTAGGCACTTTGGAATAACATTTGTTGAAAGAGCTTTAATTAGGGGACTGGAATGAGATGCTTGTGGAATCTTTTATAATATGTTATTACTTCTTCTTCTTCTTCTTTCTAATTTTTAAATCCATGTACAGGGTATGATTTGATACATATAAGAGGGAGTTCTTCATTAATTTCTTAAATGCAATATTTTGAAAGACCTGAATTCAATTTATTTTTGATTTATACATATGTAGTCACAAGTTTAGTTAAAATATTTTAGCAGACATATGATAGGCCAAAGTGAGTTGCTAGTCTAGGGTTAAACAAAGATATTTTATAGTCAGGGTAGATGGAATTTGAATACCGTAAAGAGTGACGGGCAGACAATATCCGAGTTTAAAAGTAAAAGTTGTGTAATTTGATTTAGTTTGATTGATTTTAATAAAAAATTAGAAATAAAATAAAAATGGTTATTGAATTCAACCAGGAGAAAACTTTTATAAGTTTTGAAAAAACTAAAGAAATGTTAATTTTTTATTTTCTGGTTATAACTTATATGTTTAAAATATACTTAAAATTAATAGCAAACTATATACTCACCACCAAAATCTTTACCACTGGTGTGAGCAATTGCTTTAGCAGCGTTTTGTTTAACAATAAATTGTACAAAACCACAACCAATAAGTTTTCCATCAGGTTTCCGTAAAAGTTTTACATCATTTATTTCACCAAATTTAGAAAAATGTTCTTTTAATTGCTCTTCGTTTGTCTAGTAACAGTTAAATAATGATGTTAAATTATTATACTCCAATATTTTAATAGATAAATAATACAGTTTTATATTTAACAACGACAAAAATAATTTGATAGATCTCAAATACTCACAGTAAACGGAAGATTTCGAATAATGAGTCTCCCGCGACGATTGTTTGCATTTTTCGGAGCTTTGTTTTTGGCGAAAAATATTTTATTTTTCATTTTTGCGTCATACGATTAACGAAATACCGGTTGGTTCACTGATCACTTTTCACATTCAAGTAATAGACGTTGAAACTCGGAAGTTAGTCGTCTCTCGACAGGAGTACGACGCACATGTCTTGCCATCACGGTTATCAATATCTACCAAACACCAGATAATAAATTATTATTATTTTTCTACAGATATTATGTATACATATATTCTGTGGTATGTATCGTTAATCGGCAAGGTGGTAACTATGATTATTGATAAGGCGAAATCGGATTCAAAAACTTTAACCAGGTAGTCTTAAAATCTAAGATAACAGATGAGAGTCAACAAACCGACAATACGATAAGTCGATACTTCAAGTCTACAATATTTTACATTAACTTTACAATCGTTTGTACTCGTTAAAAGTATTTTCGGCTTCCTAGTATTTGATATTCTGATACACATTATTCTGTTCTACTACTTAAAATTTGACTAATTATTGTTTATTTATTTTTGTTTTATAATTATAATTATTGTCATTCGCCAATGGGTTCACCGTCGGCGTGACTGTGACTGGTTAGTGGCTGTGTGTCTCAGTTAGGTGCTGTTACACCCCTCAATTTTCTGTTTTTGAATTGTTGCGGCATCCGAATTCCGAGCATTGTCGTTTGTCGGCAATATAACAAAATATTATCATGTCGTGCGCATACTTTTTCGCACGACGTTGGATCGATGAAACTAAACGCGGCTGATGAACAGTTCGCCGCTGTATTTATTAGTTTTTATCAAGCGACGGTCAAAATACTATCACCCAAAAATTCAAAAACAGTGATGAGTGATGACGATTATCCCAAATATCAAAATTGAAATTACAAAATATTTACATATCCAGTAAAATAATCCATCGTTGCGTGTAGATTTGAGACAGTCGACTTGTGTTCGGGTTTCTCCTAGGTATAGTACGATGTTAAGCAATATTAATCTTGAAGTAGTTTGACAATGTTACGAATAAAAAAAAAAAAAAACGTTTTTTAAACATTAGTTGCTCGTAGTCATATTAATCATTACACTAGTGTCTACTACCTAAGACAAAATTGCCCTAACATGAAATAAAACAATTACTATATATACAATAGATAACTATTTTGATATTTATTTCATTATATTTGATTGTTAAATCGTTGTCATACTTTTCTTATGTAAATGACTTCAGTTATTTTGTCCCAGTGCCCAAAAATGCTTAGGGCTTAGCCTAAAAATGATTTAATCCGACACTGAGGATTCCAATTGTAGTGTTTTGTATTTGATGACTATAGATAGAACTAAATGCACGTTGTCACGAGTACACAGACCTAGTCAGTTACTAATGTTTGAAACAAGAGTCTAGAATAACATTTAGTATATTATTCGTGTTGTAGCGATTGTGTTAATGTGTCATTGTAGCTTTTTTTTTAATATTTAAATATATTCCATCTGCTTACAAAATAAAAACAATAAGTAATAAAGATTACTAAAAGAAAAGTATATAAAAACATATTTTTGTAGCTAAGCTTGGAATCATGGTGGAAGACAAAATCCTGTACACTTTCCGGGGGTGGTTGGCGTTTGTGGCTTTCATGGACCTCGGCGTAACATTTCGATCATTTTTCGAAAACAAATGTATCATTGGGACGCAGACCAATTTACAGGCAGACGAACATTTTATACATGGTACTAATGATAGTTTTTACGTGTGACAAATGATTTGCTAAATCTGTGACTAACAATGTTATTTGTAATTCGGGTATTTTCAAAACAAATATTTTACCAAATTCATAGAGGGCTAACTTCATAAAAGTGTTGGTCTAATACCTACTATAGTAGTTATTATGATGCTGTTTTCATTACATTCAAATAACAGAGGTTAACAGCTTAAACATAAAAATATAAAATGTAACACAGATACTGAAACTGAATACCGATATAAAACAATGATCAAAGATAGAAAAGAACTAAAACCAAACTTTCATCAAAGTATTTCTTCTATAAAATATTAATAATTAAATTTAACTAGAACTGATAATAAATTATAAAAAGAGGTAATTACTCAATTTTTATCATTTATAACAATAAAATGAGAAAGTATGTAATTGATTCAATAAAAACGATAAATTGTAATTTATAAAAACATTTTAAATTTATACCAATAAAGGCTGAAATAGATTGATGGAACAAATTAAAAATAGTCATAGAAAAGAATTGAGAAGATGGGATTTATTATTGTATCAAAATTATTTAAATATTTTGGTTAATAAATTGTTATATCACATTTAAATTAAAGGATGGTATTCTAAATGATGTAATAAGTAAAAAAAAACTATCTCAGAAATTATTAACATATCTTATTGTAGTATATTAACAATTATGGCTTTAAAATCTAAACTTATGCCAGCTAGGTTATTAATTTCATTCTTTGTTTAAATTATTCACAGAAGAATTAACTTTGCCAAGAGTGCTGGGTATGTTTTCGCTTCTTAAAGCTCTATGTTTGATACATTGCTCATTATTTATTCACTATAAGCCGTAAGTAATATAAGTAATATAAAAATGGTTATTGTGTATTTAGCATTGAGCTCATATATATTTTTAAAATTCAATATTATTCATTAGAATTAAATGTTTTATATAATTATTTTGTAGAATGGTCAGTATTGGTGCTATATCTATGGTTTTATCTATAGTTTTGTATCTCAGTGAAGCTATTCATTATCGTTCAACTACTTTAAATTTCTTTATTGTTTTTCCAAGCATTTTAAATGGTAAAGTAATACTTTTGTGATAGAATATTTAATAATGAATCACTTAAACATGAATATATTTTTTAATGTTCAAAGGTTTAACATTGATTGGATTATACTTAATTGTACGCAAGATTAATAAGCCACCAGTTGAATGTGTGGAAGAAAATGTTGAAATGTTAATGAGTAAACTCAAATATCAAAAAAATAAAAAATATATTTGTAAAAAAAAATAGGTATGACTATGATATAGAATACAAGAATCATTCAAGATTTATGGAAACATTTGTTTTTTCAATTTTGTAAATTTTTAAAAGATTGAGCTTTCCTAGTTTTTTTAGTTAAATTGTACTTCAATAATTATGTTTAGTTTTAATGTAATGCATTTAGTTTGTAAATAATTCAAATTTATAAATTTTTATAAAATTAGTTGTTTTTGACTTGGTTATTTTTTGTTTAAAAATAATTTGTAAAACAACCAACTTATTAACATTTTAACTTCTTTGAAAACAATAACTATTTATGTAATAGTCAATTTTAAATAAAAAAAATTTAATTTACACATTACATGTTTATTTTCTTATACTGATTGTTTCTGAGGATTGCCTGCTTTATTTTGAGCAATAACAAATTCTGGATAATCTATAAAACCATCAAAATTTGTGTCATCCATAGTTAATATTGGATCAATTAACTGCATCAATTCTTCATCGGTAAAAATTTTTTCTTGGGGAGGTGCTCCCCCTGCTGCGGGATCATGACCACCTTGAACTAATATTAAAACATGATGACAAATTTAAATCAAAATTCTTATCTTATACAAGAAATCATTTAAATTATTATTGCAAGCGTGGTATTAAGACCATTATTTTCAATACTCCCAATAAATAAGTGATAATTACCATGCCAATGTATAAGTGACTTGATAAGTTCACATCCATCTAGTTTATTATTGTTATCTGCATCATGCATTTTAAAATAATGAAATTGTAATTCTTGTTCAGACATTTTGCTAGTGTCTAACGTTGGTAGATCCAAATGTTTTTTTATATGCCTAAAATAAAGCAGAATTATGAAAAAGAATACTAAGTATATTATAAGTACAGTTTTCTATTAATAAAAGATTTTAAATTATATTTACTCGCTTTCTTCTGCTAAGTTTGCATTATGTAACACTTGTTGTGTATGAGGATGTCCTTGGGAACCGTGGCCATGACTCTAAAATATTATTTAGCATCAAAATAATTTATGGAACAAAGTTTGATCCTATATATTAAAGCAGTATGCTTTTTACAGTTATATTAATAATGTATACAGCTATTGTAAAAAAGTAAGAATGTTATTTTTTTATTACGCTTATAATTATACGATACTAAGTACTTTATTTATAATACTATAAACAGAATGTAAGAAAAAAAACAAACCATTCACTGCGATTAATTTAAATATTTCATTGTGTAAATTACATACTGGTTGTTGTTGTTGTTGTTGTTGATGTGGTTGGTGTTGCTGCTGCTGAAGTGGCGGTGGCGTTTGTTGGTAAGGTACTTGTTGAGGAACATTTTGTTGTGGAGGTAAATGTTGAATAGGTACCTATATAGAAGAAAACAATTAATCAAATAGTACAGTGCACAATATATTTACTATCATTTATTTACTTGCTGTTGTTGTTGTTGATACAGTTGTGGATTTACACCAGGCGGTGCTGGCGCGTATTGTGTCGATGACTTATGACACAAGACTACAAGAATAGGAAAAGTAACTAAAAGCGTCTTGGAAATCATTTTTGGTAGAAATACTCATGTACACTTTAAACGTTGATTACCATATAATATGAATACCGACGGTGATCGTGTACATACAAATTTGACGTATTTTTATCTTTCAATACCTGAAATGTGTCGCCTTTTGTCAGTCGACAACTTACATAATTTTATCTAATAATATTATTGTTTCAACTGTTTCAAGCCATGTCATTTAGAATTCAGAAAATTCCACTCTGGCCGCCAGACGTCATTATCAGTTTGAAGGTGCCCCCACATCATCATTCACCACGTCAGTACGTCACGTCGCTTGCTTATGTGTAAACATATTATTATTATTATTCTCATTCTCTGTTGCTCT